CTTGCTTCCTTGCTTCCTTGCTTCCTTGCTTCCTTGCTTCCTTGCTTCCTTGCTTCCCAGAAAACCAAACATTTTTTAAACGTTAAAGCCATTTTTGAAGACATTCAACCGTTAGTTTTTTCTTAACAATCCCTACTTCATCGTTCTTACAGCGTGTGCACGTTTAAAGGAAACAGCTTTATTTTATTCTATTAACATTTTTCCTAAAGAAAATTAGCTTGTGCCAAAACTTGTAGTGTAGTGGTCGTCACCAACTTCTTCAGTGGGTTTTTTATCTCACCCTTATACAGGCTATAGTGAAGGCAGACGGGGTCTGCGGTTTAAAGTCCTTAGCGCATCCTAAAAGACTTGAAGTTCTAACCGTGTGCAGATGTAATTGCAAAAGCAGCACTTTCTCCTCAGTTATTTCAAAACCCTGAGCGTTGGTCCGGCCGGGACTTGAACCATAACTTCCCGCACAAGTTCAGGCCAAGGCTCTTACCAACTCAGCTAAGCTAAATGATGGGCCTTTTTATGTGAATGTAAGGGCATTTAGTCATGTTTGGAATGCTTTTGATTTAGTATTTTCAATCTAAGATCAAAAATATGTACACTAACGTACATTATCAAGAGCTATTTTCAGTTAGCGGACAGACTTTCGGACCATTTCTTTGACATATTTGCTTTTTAAAACAAACACGGCACAAAACATCTTGCTTTATTAGATATTGTAGACACAAATTCTAGATTTTTAATGGGGGAAAAGCTCCGAAATGACACCAGACATTACTCTATATTTAATCTCGTAACTAATTTCAAAGTTATTTTTGTTTGCAAGTCCTTAAACGAATATTGTTGTCTAACCTTAGTTAACAAGAAAACAAACAAACAAACAAAAAAAAGATTGCATTTTTTTCTACTTTGCTTTAAGCGCCCCGCTTGCGCATTTATCTATACTTATACTTATACTTTTCTAGTTAGGAACCGGTCAGTGGGTGGGGGGGGGGGGGGGGGGGGGGATAGGCTGGTACATTTTTATTTCCCATGGCATATTTTCTTGTGGCCCCTGTTCTTTCATGATGCATAAAGTAACGTGGCCCCAAGAATGAGAACATAAAATAACACGACCCAACTCAGACCCAACCTGGGCCTAAGAGTCTTGAAACACGTCGATTTCCTTTGCTATCTTGCATCTTCACCCCTGACATCCATAACATCCATACACTTTCGGTTCTACCTACACATGAGCTCATCATACAAACTTACAAGCAAATTATTTTTCAATACATCATATCAACACCGCCCCCTCCACTCGTGCCATGGCCATATGCAGCATATTTCCCCCATTCCCTGTGTTACCTTCAAATTAATCCTTACAAATTTCATATTTTCCTATATCTCTTCCAGTCTACAATACTCATACGAACTGACTTCCATCCATACCCTCATGCTCTATAAACACTCTTACGCACTCCTTAACATTTTACCCACCGAAAACCCTTTCCCCTCTCCCCTTGCTTGGGTCCGAATACCTGTGTTTTCCATAGTATTCTCGGATTCACTTCCGAGATTCTATGCTTTAAATTTGCTATGAAAATGTAAACTAAATAGCTTTATACACTATATCAAACCTGAAATAGTTGACTAAAAACGCATGACCCCACAAAAATGTTTGCAAAATTTCATGCAGCCCCTCATTTTTGGTTGAACAAAAAGGTATGGCCCCCTCCCCATTAGAAGTAAAGAAAGAARCAAAAGAAAGAAAGAAAAAACAAAGCTGACCATAGCTTCCAGACTAAAATTAGAACAGAAAACTACATCTAACAAATTATTTTTTTAAATTGAAATTTCTTCACGTTGGAAGGTTTCTAGAAGTTTCCTAATCACTGTTGGTAGTGTCGAGACACCTGGACAAGAGAAGACTTTCGTTCGTTTGCACACCTGCTACTTTGACCAATCAAGGGGTATTATTGAAAATCTATCTAGTTTCGAAGTTTTAAATCTATACTTAAGCAAATAAAATGATCAGGTTTTGTGACAGAGTAGGCATCAGGTGAAAACCCGTACTACGGCGCACGTTTGAGTGATTTGCCATTGTCCATCTTATATCGACAAAAAATATGACTAGATCAATTATAGAATATAATCTGCTCAGTTTTCGAATGCCGAATATAAAATTGCAATTCCCGGTTTACCTGGGCAAAGAAACTGTCACACATTTCAAACTGCCTCTTGTAATTCCTAACAATTGATAACATAAAAATAATAATCACTCCAGTTAAGGAGGCTCTGGGTAGTTCTGGTCTGGCGCACACCTAGCAGCATTGAAACGGCTAACTTCGTCTTGAATAACTCAATCTGCAAGCGCTTTTTACATAATGTCAGGAAAGGATTAAAGGTTTCAAAAATGATAAATTAGTTTAAAGCGGCCTTTTCATTATGACGTAATGATGACATCATAGAAATCGTTTACCGCTTATTTTCTCGAAAACTAGACCTAAACTTTCAAAGCGACTTGCACCAGTCGATAGTGTTCATCAAGGCACCCAACATATTGCAATATGAAAAAATGTATGAGAGCGTTTTCCAAATATTACGCGATGAATATTTTCATGGACTTTTACTATTATTTCCAGCGTGTCAACTTTATACCCTCGAAATCGGGACTTTAATTTAGTGGATTCAATATTTTTAGTAGCTAGAATATAAGTACGGATACAGACACTGTCCTTATTCAGTATGAATCAAATTGTGACTTTCTTTCTAACGTTATGGATTTTTTGATATGAAGCTAAATGACCCCATTTGTTGTAAAGCGATAGAAAATATCGATGAAAGCGGCATTCAAAAAATCGTCGAACGATTTTTTTCTAAATGAAGTCACTAGAACATGTATCTTTTACAAATATTCTCCTTTAATTTCATATGTATTGAAGGGTTTTAAGGCAGTCAAATAGCGTGAATAATCAACAAGCAGCCGTGAGCGAAAATAGCTGTGAGCATACTTATTTTTATGATTTATATTTTTAAATTACTACATGTTAAGAGCCTGGGTGATATCCTTTTGATTCATTCGTTTTCTATATCATATCGTTCACTCGCTTTCGGTCCCGCTCGTTCGCGATACATATACAGTCCTTTGACTAAACGATGTCGTTTGATCGGCTTCATCCCTACGCGCATAGACCGAGAGGACGGCGGGGATAATTAATTCACAGTTACTAGCTGCCGCATATGTTATCTAACACGTCTTGAGCTCGCCATTTAATTTGCTAAAACCATGCCTCGAGCATACGGCGAAGATTTAAACTGGCGAGCAGTTTGGATGACGCAAGTTCTGGGTAATTTACCCGTTATCCTTTTCGGTCTAGGCGCGTAGGGATGATCCGATCAACGACAACTTTTGAACTCGCAAATAGAAACAATATCAACTTTTGATATGGGGTAATCTTCCTTGATTAGATATATTTTTTGGTAACTACCGGAAGGTTTTAGATAAAACTATTATTCGAAAACAAAAATATTTGTACCACTTCAGTTTTAAGCGATAAAACTAAAAGACAGGCAATGTTCAATTGCGCTTCAAATTCTAAGCACTCCCTTCCCCTTTAATCCCCCCTCCCCTTTCCCTCACCCCTCTCCATCTCCGGTGATAACCTCTGGAAATCCCAAGGGAGAAGGAGAGGGCTTTATAATTTTAATGGTGGTATTGGGTAAAAAGGTAAGTTGAAATCATGTGCTGAATTTAAAAACCTGCATGGAGAATAATAGAAAAGTTGTAGATGTTAACAATATCACCAGTGATCACCAGGAGATTCACCTTCCTACCTTTTGCTAATAACGATCCACTAAGATTTGATGTCTGAGACCCCCCGGCTCCCCAGTTATAGTTTTACATTCCAGTGTGTCAAAAGGGGACTAGCACAATAACCCTTAAAGGTTTAATAATCACTGGTTAAAAGTTTTTCCTGATATTCGGATGGCAAGCAATATATTTTGGCGAATTTTTATAGGTATTTTGTAATTATAATAATCATTAATAATTCATGAGCGTTCTGTCCAATCCGGACACGCCATTTGTGTCACATGCAATTACTTGTATGCAAGATACATATCCAAAGAAACTGGAAGCATGGGGAGGGTTTGAATAGCTGCCAAGGAAAGGTTGGGGTTGATGAATTATAACAATGCTTAATTATTATTCTGTATCGTTATACGGAATACTAATAGATCTATTAGTATTCTGTATCAAGGACGTACTGAAATGTCAAGGTTAAATGAAAACATTCGTAGCAATAGATTCTTACACAATTTTTAATATTCATAGCTTGGCAAACTAGCGATCTGTTACAATGCTTGGGAATACATGTATAAATTTCTTTCGTCTACTAGCTTAGCCTGTAATCATTTCACTTACAAATAAAGTTCACTGTACAATTATTGAATATTGCGTTGCTTGGCACATATATTAACACTAGAAGTAGATGGCATTTGAATATTAGCCAGAATATCATCTGGAATATCAGACTCATTAACAATTAGACTACGAGGTGGAGTTTTCTATGAGTCAATAGATAGTCGATGAGCGAATCGACTATTTGAATCATAGAAAACGAGAAGGAGTAGTCTAATTGTTTTAGCATAAACCTACTAGCTAATATTATTGTATTGAAAACAAAAAGTGAAGCTGAAAACTTTACTGTTCATTCATATTTACAAACTCGTCTCGAAGTATTAAAGCAAAGTTTAAACTTGCTCTATTTCTATAGCTTTTTGTCTCTATTATTAATGTCAAAACTCGTTTTCCAATATTTTTTACCTTATCAGTTTGGGAAGATTTTCGTGCTAGTCCCTCTTTGAATATATTTTGAAATCCCCTCTACTTTTAGAGGTGTAATCGTTGGGCAGAGAAAAAAAATCAGTTGATCACAGCAGGAAGGCCAGGCGTCTATGGTTTCTGGCCTCCCAATTCAGGACAGTGCTGTTTCCATACGTGACGTCACATAACAAAGGATTGCTTCGGGATTCTGGTTTTTGTCTATCTAAGTAAAACGCCATAGCAGTTGGGAAATGTTCACAAGAAAGTTACAGATTTAAACGGCTCATAAGTGCTAAATCCGCCTTCGATGTAGATATTTTATAGTCTTGTGTAATCGGCTTTGTATTTTCATACATCTATTTGTTGATATTTGACTTTATTTATCGCGGGACGTTTCGACGATCCGCCGCTTTTGTGGAAAATTTGGAAATTCGGGAATTCGAAAATTTTGTCTTTGATTTTGATTTAACAGATCAAAAACAGTTTTCCGTGTTTGATACTCTTTGATACACTCGAGAAGCTGGAAACCACTCCACTATGCGTCGTGGTTTCCTACGCTCCTCTCGTGTTCTCTCAACATCCCGCGTGTTTTGATCAGAGTATCATTCACAGAAAACTGTTTTTGATTTGTTTTATGAAATAACAAACGCGCGAAAAGATCGAAAAAACGCAATGTCTAAGTAAATTCAAACTGACCAATGAGCGCGCGCGATAGATTAAAAATGACGGTAGCGTGTTTTGATACTCTCATCAAACATGGTTTTCGACCAATCTTAGCGCGCGTAGTATCCCAATTATTTTATAAACTATTTTTTGATATGAAGATAGAGAATTTTTAATCCACGATAAGAAATTTGTTTTAAAGATAATTTTGCAGTTTTGTGACTTATGATTTGTCGTATTATTGTTCTAATCCTCTCGAATGAGTCCGCAATTAGAAGTCAAATCAATTCTGACTTCCTCCATCTTGAATCGACATTGAAAAGCGCTTTAAACTCTTTATAAATGATAAATACAGCACTTGTGGCTATTTGTATTTTCTTAATGTAAAATATGTTCATGTCATGGAAATATGTTTTAAGCATTTTTATTTTTATTATATTTATCTCTTTTTATTTCAAGAATTCTATTTTGATATTTATTTTGGGTAATTTCGAGGATCAAGTTTGTTCAACTTGAAATTTGCACGGCACTCACTAAAAGCGAATTTCTAAGTTTCAGCAAACCACATCCTTTCTCCGGCGTTTATTCGAAGAATAACTTCTAAAACATATTATACAATAACCACTAGAATTTGTGATGATTACTAAATCAAGACAAAATAGTCTAAAAAAATGATATTTTGACCCCTTTAGCTATACTTTGATTTAATTTAATTTAATCAAATTTCCAAATACATTACATTACAATGAAATTAATCTAATGATTTGCGGAAAGCCTAGAAC